ACTCAAAGCCTAGAACCTTAAACTCATCTTTTAATTTCATTCGAGACTCTCTAAACTGTTTTTAAGATGTTCTCGGATGTACTACAATGAATTTTCCATCCTGCTCTCACATTAAAAAGAGAGGCACTGATTTGGGCCATGGCTGTCTGTGAAGCAAGTGACGCCTGGGTCTTTTGAAGATGACTCTCCATTAGTCAAACTGCCTATTTCTTGTGGGTTTTCCCTAGTGTTTTGTGGTCCATCTATGTGTGTGTGTGTGTGTGTGTGTGTGTGTGACCCCTGAGGCGAACACACTCATACAGCTGACTGCTTGAACTACAGGTCAGTTCAGCCCGGCAAAATGTCAGTGGTGTCTTGTGATGCCTGTTGGCATTCATTATCAGATACAGAAATATTATCTGATTCCAAAGCATGCTTACTTTTGAAATAATGATGATTTTCAACATGGTGTGTGTGTGTGGGGGAGGGGACGGGGTGGGGGGGGAGTCCATCAGATAGCGTCACAATTCAAATATTCCCCAAAAAGAAAGCAAAATCTAACTTTGGTGTGCAAACGATATCCCTCCCCGCATTAAGAATGTGACTCTCCACATTACGCACATTGGGAAGGCTGAATTTATCTCTCCTATTAAGTTCCTCCGTCCTCAGTGACTGCTCAGAGGGCTGTTTCCACTATGATGAGTATGAATATTGAAAATCCGTAAGGCCCCAGCCCTAATCCACACATTATACAGGCCTGTGGTTAAAAGGTATCATCTGGTTGGGGGCTGAAGTTGGACTTGCCTTTGGAGACCAGTCTTTCTCTTGGCAAAATACACAGGCAGTCATCAACACTGGATTTATGGGCGGCACACTTGTGGTTCAGTTGTGATTGCTTGAATTGGCGGCACATGCTCTCTGCTTCATTGAGCTCCTGAGATGGGTCTCTTTCATTGAAAATAATCACTTGGGACCTGCAAGACAGATGAGAGAACAATATTGGAGTGGAAGGAAAAAGAGAGGGAAAGAGAAGGTAGAAAAGTACAGTAAGTAACGGTGCTCAAATTAAAAGGAGAGAAATTCTGAACCAACACCATATGGGGTAAGAGAGAATAAAATAGAGATGGCTATACTGTTGAGCTATACAAACACATTAAAATGAATGATGCTTTAATAGCAATAAAAATAATAGTTGTTACTTAGGGCAAACTTTGGCAAAGTCTCAAACACTTTCCAACAACCTCTCAGGCCGGCTTGACAACCTATGGTGTGTACAGGAAGAGGAAAGAGTTATGGGGATTCCTAAAGGAAACGTTAAATCATATTTGTGTGTATCCATAAAGCATGTTATTAGTTTTATAACACATTGGAGTCAAAGTTTAAAACCAATAGTTAAACTTGGAAACACACACCCCCTATCATAATTTCACATATCTTGAGGCTTTTGTTACAATGGTTGTGAGGTCCTCAAACACTTGCACTTCTGCAGTCATTTGCTGGTTTCATCTGTAAAAGATTTCGGAAACTTTACAGTTTTTATAAAACTCTAAGAGTAACTGGAGGTTACTTTCTCAGATCGTAAAAAAAAAAACGGGGAAAAGGAATGGAAAATGGCTTTGGTGCATGAGGCTTCCTCCCCCGAATCCTTTGGCTGAAGGCTCAGTGCCAGATTGTGTGAAACCTGTTTTTTTTTTAAAATCCCCAATCTCTTTCTCTCTGCTGTGACCTATCCATCCTAGTACTCGTGTCACTCTTTTCCACTATCTTGCTTCTCACATTTTCTTTCTTTATCATGCTCCTTTTCCATTCAGTCCTCCTCCATTCTCACTCACTCTCTTGTCTGAAAGATTATGAAGCACAAATAAAAATCAATAATACATCCGAAGGATTGGAAAACTGTGGATTAAAGTCAGTTTGAGGTCAGGTGTGAACAGCCTGACTGCTATTTAATATTCCTGAACAGTTCACTCAGCTCACAGCCAAGCAGCACAAAAGGCACCAGTTGAGCTGTCAAGTCTGTTTTGAGATCATGAAATAATCGGGTGATAAAGTGGAATTCAGAATCTAGCTTCAGAATGGCAGGATTATAAAGAAAGGCCATGAGAAACAGTATTTTTTAAAGCAATACTTCATTCAGATTTCTGTCATCATTATTCACCCTCATGTTGATCCTGTATGACTGTGAAACACCAAAAAAAGATGTTTAGCAGAATGTCTGAGCTGCTCTCTCCTCCGTGCAATGAAAGAGGATGGAGAATGAAGCTGTCAAGCTCCGAACAGCACAAGAAAGCAAAAACAAAGTGTTTCATACAATCATGGCAATTCATATCTATTTTACATTTCAGCAAATTGATGACTAATTTGTACAATCTCCTTCATTTTTTTCATATAATCTGCTTATGCCCTACAGACAGTTAGGTAGGTTTAGGGGTGCGGTTAGGGGTAGTCCTTGCTTACATTTTTTTTCTTTCTAAAAATCATACATTTCCGTACAATTCACATGATGCGAATTTACACAAAATTGTTGCTTCTTATAATAGTGGTGTTTTTTCATTGAGATCGAGTCAATACAACTTGACGACGAGCACAAGATAGCTTTAGGTGAGTTCGACTTTCTGCGCAGACTGACTGGCGTATAACTTGAAGCAAAGCATGCTGGTTAGGAAATATATACAACTAGAGGTGGCATGACCCTGCATCACAGTGACGTATGCCACCAAAGTACAATGACTGCAATTTCACAACAGTCGACTGACTCATTTTATTACATTTCTCCAGAGTGGCTGCACAAGCTGTTTCACAATTAGTCAGCCTCAATAATGACAGTGAAAACTCTTTTCATGTAATCTCCATGCTATACTGTATCATGACTATCAAATTAAAACGGACAACAGCATACATCCCACAATATTGGAATTTAAATAATACAGGCTTATCTTGAGCATCCTACTTGTTCGTACAGGCACTATATTCAACTCCTGAATGAAAGTGTTTCTGGTTTGTTAATTTGAGAAATATAACATCTAATTCACTTTGCCTGTGATAAAGAAAGCAAACACTGCACAAGCATCATTACGGGAAGCAGAAAGTGTCCAACTTGACAGCTCCGTTTTCAACTCCTCCCCAGACTGCAAGCAGCAAATCACACAGATTGGTAAGCTCAGCCTTAGTCAAGTCAAGTCACCTTTATTTATATAGCGCTTTTAACAATACAGATTGTGTCAAAGCAACTGAACAGCATTAATTAGGAAAATAGTGTGTCAATAATGCAAACTGTGACAATAGTAAACACTCATTTTTCAGTTAAAGACAGTTCATCATTGAATTCAGTGATGTCATCATCCAGCTCAGTTCAGTTTAAATAGTCTCTGAGCAAACAAGTCGACGATATCGCTGGAAATGAAGTGTCCCCAACTAAGCAAGCCAGAGGCGACAGCGGCAAGGAACCAAAACTCCATCGGTGACAGAATGGAGAAAAAACCTTGGGAGAAACCAGGCTCAGTCGGGGGGCCAGTTCTCCTCTGACCAGACGAAACCAGCAGTTCAATTTCAGGCTGCAGCAAAGTCACATTGTGCAGAGGACTCATCTGGTTCCTGTGGTCTTGTCCTGGTGGTCGTCTGAGACAAGGTCTTTACAGGGGATCTGTATCTGGGGCTCATCTAGTTGTCCTGGTCTCCGCTGTCTTTCAGGGCTGTAGAGGTCATCTCTAGGTGCTGATCCACCATCTGGTCTGAATAAGTACTGGATCCGGGCGACTGCAGTGACCATCTGATCTGGATACAGACTGGCTCTGGTGGCTACGGTGACCTCGGAATAAGAAAGAAACAGACTAATATTAGCGTAGATGCCATTCTTCTAACGATGTAGCAAGTACATCGGGTGTTATGAGAAGTTAAACATACCTTTTGTGTAAGGAACAGTCTGAAATGTAGGGTGTATTTACAGTACACCTGTCTTGTTTAGTTCGATTAAATCAAAAGTTTGTTCCCTTTTGGGCAGGTGTGAATACAGCAATCGCACTCGGGTGCGGCCCAAGCAACCGTACTGAGACCTAGCTGAAGAGGTGGTCTCGGTCCGCTTCCAAACAAACTTTAGTACGGTTGAATGGATGAACCAATGAATGGATGACCTTAACACACGTGTGGTTTTGTTTGCAATTTCTGGTTCACTTGCAAAAAGGGCACCCTGCTGAAAACAGGACACCATCACAACATTTTTAATGGTTTTACTGGTTTTAATGGGAATTGTAATGGACCCTGCGGGTCTCTATTAGTCACCTTCTATTGGTGGCTTGTTAAAACCAATAAATCCTAATGGAATATGTCCCAAAACACACTACAAAAAACATTTGTTAATTGTTTTAGTGGTTAAAAGTTGATGGTTTGCAATGTTTGTAATGGTATTTGTAGTGAAAATCCTTATCAACAGATAAGAGATAAAGCAAGTGAACTAGTGGATATTCCTGGTGTGAATACACCCTTAGGCTGCTAATCACTGCACATTTTTCTTTACAACCATGGATACCATTTACTTCCACTGTATGTAAAAGAGCAGCGTGGGCATTCTGCTAGCTATGCCATGGAAGAAAGTCATTACGGAAAAGTTGACAAAATGATAAGAATTTTAATTTTTGGGGTGAACACAGGAGTCACGACTGAAATGTAAAGGTTTCTGATATGTAGTATTATGTTTGTGACTGTATTTCTGCACATAACAGTCATTTGAATGGTTTGATAACAAACTCCATAACTACTGTATATCGTGAGCAAACCTTATCAGACCGGAGCCTGGGAAATCTCAAGCTTCAACGTCAAAATGTCTTGCAAATTCCGCCTGTGGAGGTTATTTATGAGCGGGTAAACACTGTTTCAGCGTTGTAAAACATCCATCCGCGGCGCTTCGCACCAATCTCGCGATGCCACGAGCCTCGCTCACTAAGCTGTATGGTGAGAGTTTTCCTCCTCTCGCGAGATCAGAAGAGTTTCCCACGCCTGTTGTTGTGGTGTCTGCCCTTTTCTTTCACTCACCCTGCCCCCCTTGCTCCGTCCTCGTCACCCGCCCCCTTTCTCTCTCTCCCTCGCTCCTTAAGTCTCCAGTCTGCTTCTGTTGTCTCGGCGGCTGGTAGGGTCTGGGAGAGAGGATCTCGCGAGTCTTGGAGTTTTGGTGAGAGTTTGTGGAAGATGGCGCCTGTTGTGACAGGGTAAGTCTGAGATTCGGGACTGCTGCAGGAGTTCAGCTGCTCTCACACACTTTCTCGTATTTGAACGGGTTTAATGAAAAGATGGCGGGTTGCTTTTCCATTTTGCACGTGTGCTGACCGTGTGCTGGGAATTTCTGTGTTCAGCTTCTTCATAAGAGCACGCGGAGTGTGTGTGTTTTTATATTTTGAGTGAAGTGCGCGTGTGCTGTGGGGTTGTTGCATTGAGCCCATCACGGTGTGTTTGCATGGGGAGTTGAGGGCCAGCCAGACCGTTTTGTATTGACTTTCTAACCACGCAGTATCCCAAAATATAATTGGAATTTTTTTGAAAACACCAAATAAACAACATCGCTGTATAGGGAACCCCCCATTTAAGGGATTGTACCTTGTACACATGGATTGTATGGTTATAGTAATGCAGTACAGTGGCTTTGTTTCGTTTGGGATTGGAGTGGAAAACACCTCCCATCTGAATGTGTGCTTTTGTTGCTCTGTCGGTGGTCAGATGTGTTTTATTGATTGTCTGCAGGGAAATGTGCTCGATTGTGAAGTGTTGTTTACCAGAACAGAGCTGTCGCTCACTCGGTGCAGACGAATGATTATTTAATGGCAAGTGCAACTAAGGACATTAAAGCTTCCCGACTGTTAGAAGAAGCATGGAAACGTTTAGGAATCGGAGCCTTTCGCGAATGAATTTCTAGCACTGCAGTGTTTTGCTTGTGGCACTCTTGGGCATCAGTGCTGAACGATTGTGGCAGTGTTTCCAACTGAATAGTGTGTCTGTAACCCCTGAATTATTAAATAGAATAACAATATACTAAAACGTTTATGTAATTCAGTTAAATATTATTACACTTATTTTTGCAAATACTTTACGCAGCGACATATGAACAAGTCAGTAATAAAGCGTATTTAAGTTTCACAAACCTTATGTACAGTTATTTCGTTTTGTGGTGTACATCACTTTAAGTAACTTTTTATTTCATCATAAAACTTGTAGTCTTTGGTATGAACAGCCCTTTAACCTTTGCTATGTTCGTCTCCCTGAAAAGTATGAACGGTGTGTCATTTTCAAAACAATACTCTGTTTAAACTTCTCGTCTAGGCTGAGACAGCAGTGTTGGCAATGATGTGTAGTTGAATGACAGATGGGGGAGTATTTGGGAAACTTGTTTGAAAACAGTCATTATTATAATTTTTTTTTGCAATTCTGACACTATTGGTGCAGAAAGTAGACACATTAAGTATCTTAAATTCTCTCTTGGCTGTTCAGTTCTGGCTGTAATTGTAATAAGGATATTAATGTAGAACAATGTTATTTAGGTATATTTAAGACATTTTGTGAAATTATAACCACCAAAGCTCCCGTCAATTACGTTTTAGAACAATAATATATACATGAAGTGCACAGTGACATTCTGTTGTCTCTGGTACCTTTTCGTCATCTTTGCACACAGCCAACGAGGTGACAGACATCCCCTGGCTGTTTTTTTTTTTTTCTCTCTTCCTTTTTTTTGGCAAGGGGTGGAGGTGGTGGCAGACTGTTTATTTGGGGGCTTTCCAGCGGACCTGAACTGCCGCTGTTTTGACAGTGAAGCCAACGACTGGTTGACTGGCCACCTGTCCAGCTGATGTCCACCAATGAAATTAGAGATGGCATGATTGTTAGCATGTGTGAGGGCATTATCATGCCAGTGGCTGGAGCGATTAGAGTGTGGCTGGCCTTTTACAGTTCACTGCACAGTCTTTTGTGCATTGCACCCTGGTTGACCTGATAAATCTTGGGCTTCTCATGTGAGGCTGGTGCTCGCCTAATGGCCGAGAGTCCGGTGTGCTAACACGAGAGGTTGTTCGTTCAGTGTAAAGCATGAGTGATCCTTCTAAATCCCTGTTTACACCTGTTATCAACATTCGCCTCAGTGTGTCTCCTTCAAACAGTTTTGACTGAATGATAGAAAAATAATTGGTTAAATATATAGGGTGTTGTAACCATCCAATAAAGTAATGATGTATTTTCCTTACAACTTTAATACATATGAGTGTAATAATGTATTTTTAGGAGATCTATCTATCTATATCTATCTATCTATCTATCTATCTATCTGTCTATCTGTCTGTCTGTAAAATATATCTTAAATATATATCTTATCTTATATAGACCTATTTAAGATGTATATCTCGTCTTATATATTTAAGGTGTATCCAAGTTAATTGATTGTTTAGAAAAAAATCTGAATATACTGTATGGATGAAATGCATTTGCATTTTTGAATAAATTAATAGGACAAAAATACCATTATGTCATTGACAGTATAGCATTGTTTTGAGGGATATATTTCTGAAATTGTTTGTGCTATTTTTATTGCTTTTGGAAAGGTTACTGTGGTGCTCATACAATACTATTTATCAGTTCCTTGGTTTAAGAAAGATCTCTAGTGTGTGGAGGGAAAACAATCCCAGCATCACCTTGAATGATGAAAGCATGAATCACCTCCAGCACAATGCAGCCTGTATCGTGCTCCAGGGGAAGGAGATTTCATTTAACATTACACAGACCAATTTCTCTGTCTGTTCTTTTTTGCTAAAGCATATGCGACGTAGACTTGGAGTGTAGCCCTTTTCTGTTGTGTATAATGACACAATAAAGTCTGTCCGCTTGGGACAATGAAAGGTGTGTGCCTTGATAAACAGGTAGGCGTGTGTGCGTGAAAGAACCGTTCCCCTGAGGCGTCTCTCCTGCCCTAATACCCATTATGCAGGCAAGACGCTCTGCAATGCTCAGAGAAAGCAAAGGGGTTAGAAGAGAAGAGCGGAGGGGTGTTCGGTGACCTGTCTGAGGAGAAACGAGACGGTGTGTAGCATAAAAGAGAGCATGCATGCATGCTGTCTCATCCTGCTGCTCTTGCTTCCTGCCGTGTGTTTGAGCAGAAGTAAGCCAATAAAGAGAGGCTTGTTGTTGCTACCTAGGCTGAATGGTGCATGTTTTTCTCACCTTCATGCAGAGTTGCCATTAATATTGTGGTCTAAGTCTAACCTTAAATTATTGGTTGGTCGAAGCTGTATGTATAAAGAAAGAAAAAAAGGAAGTTCTGTGCTTACTTGGTGTAATAAACTTGCCTGTTGCGTCATTTTTTAGTCTGGATTTTATTTCCGACAACCAACCATGTATATTTCATGTGTTCTCACTTCTATTTGCAATAGAAAATCATCGAAGCCCAATGTTGATTTGAAATGCGGTCATTTGAGGTGGCTAAGACTGTTGGGGCTTTCCTCAACGGTCACACCAGGAGCTTAGAGGATGAAACGGCAAATTTCGAAGTCATTTAGCTTGGCTCAGAGTCTGCATGGCACCCAGCATCAGTTCTGGTCCTTTGCCATGAGTTGCATTCAGTGACTGTTTAATGCTTTCTGATGACTGTGGAAAAAGATTTGCTGTCAGTTTAACCCTTCAGAGCTATATTCGGGGGCTTTTTGAACACACATGACGTTTGGTGAGTTTTAAAAAATGTCATCTAAATCAGTGGTTCCCAACCCTGGTCCTGGAGGCACCCCAACACTGCACATTTTGCATGTCTCCATCCTCTGACACACCAATTTCAGCTCTTGGAGTCTCTACTAATGAGCTGATGACCTGAATCAGGTGTGTTTGATTAAGGAGACACGCAAAACGTGCAGTGTTGGGGTGCCTCCAGGACCAGGGTTGGGAACCACTGATCTAAACGACATGAGACTATGTGACGTGTCAACACTTGCTATCTATACAAACAAAAAAATAATTCGGAATGATATTTGGTTGTATGTTAGTGTGAAAAATAAAGTTGCACTCAGGATGTTTGGGGTCTCTGGAGACCCCACATTGAAATGGATTTGGAAACGATAAAATCAATACTTATTCTTTTTAATTTGTCAAATAAAATCACTAAATCAGCCACAATGCAGAACACAAAATACACACAAATAAAGTGTCAACCCTATTCTCACATCCACAATGCATACAACCCAAACCCACTCATGAGAAATGAAAAAGTGATATGACATGAGTGGTTCCCTCTTACATAATTTGTCAAAAAGAAATCAGCTACAATGAAGAACACACACTGACACTAGGGCTGGACAATAATTCAATATCAATATGTATCGCGATATAATTTTTTTCAATAACGGTGATATGATTTTTAAACACATTTCCGATATTTCGATATACATGACCAGTTTCCCATACATTGATTTATATAGAGGTCTGCTACCCGACCCGAGCCCGACGGGTCCCGAAATACTTTCGGGTTTCGGGTCGGGTTCGGGTTAATGTTTAATGAATAGCTTCGGGTTCGGGTCGGGCTCGGGTTTATAGCTAAACTAAAACTATATGCAGGCTACGCTGCTTTCATAGATGCACGCACACATTATTGCACACGACAACACAGCAAGGTAACTTTTATTAGTAAAATAGCTTCGACAGGCTACTGACTCGCAATGTTATATTTCTCTGCAATGAGGGGGTAAAATCGCTGTTTTTGAAGGAACTAAGCCTCATTGCTTGTAGAGAGAGACGTGCAGATGCAGGTTCACACACGCAACTTTCATCTCTCTCTCGCTCACTAATTCAAATAAATGATATAATTAATTAATTCAAATAAATGCGATCTTACCGCACTGCATCTCTGTGTCTGATTTAAAGCAGGCCTAATGCTAACGAGCCTTAATTGATGAAAATGACAATAATTTGCACGATGGAAGAATTATCGTCTTGTCATTCTTGAGACGTGGGACAAAACGGGTCCAGCAAGGGTAACTGCTATTAGCTTTAAAAAAAAAAAAAATTCCAATTTTAAATGTCACGAGGGATTATTAATAGAACGTATTTAACACCATTATCACCTTCAATTTAATTTTCTCATTATTATACCAAATCTGTGTTTCTTAATGTCCTCTCACTACATCTAAAACAGTGTGTCCACAGAGAAGAGTTCAAGCATTCATATGCAATAAAATAAGCTAAA